GCCCCGCCCACGCCCCGCCCCGAATACTACAGACCACACCCCCTACGCTGTTCCGCCTCGTGTCCGCCCAAATCATTTCCGTCTGTGCCTGTGTCTGGATTTCCGGGTTCTCTCGTCCTGCTGCGACAACTCATAAATGATCTTCACACTGACCATCCTCCCAGCTCGATAGCAGGGCCATCCGAGGACACAGAGCACCTTTGAGGAAACAGCCTCTTTCCTCTCGCTCCGAGCTCGGCGGCCTCCTCCGGGCCTTGCCTGCCTGCTGCCGGCTTGCCCTGACTTCACCCCATCCCATTCTGCCTGCCTCTGGGTGGCTGGGGCGGCACCGTGGATGAGCAGTTTGAGTTGGAGGACCGAACGTAGCCTTCCTCCCACCGGCTCCTCGGAACGTTGGCTTCCCTTCTCCCACTGCCCTCGGGTGACCAGCAGAAAGCCAGCCGGGCCCCGGTGGGACAGACACGCTGCCTCGCTCACAGCGTGCAGAGAGTCTGTTTGGGAAACAATCAAGCACATGTCTCAGACTACAGGATTTAGAAACTACCCCCGAAAACTGGTAGTCCCGCATTCTTAACCTGCAGATAGCTTTGTGTACAAGATCGCACTTGCTAAGAAGCCAAGCCTGCAATTGCTTGCATAAAGTCATCCACAGCGTTCACCAGGTTCCCACCTTGCGAGGGTGAACACAGCGCGAGTTGGGTTACCCTGCCGTCACCTCACTCGTGCCTGCGACAGCCGTGTTGTGTCATCCCCTTCACTCCCTGGAAGCACAGTGACGGCCCCTCTCCTGCCCTTCACCCCTCCCCCCAAAAGTTATGTCATTTTTAATTAGAGGACGTGGTTAGAGGGAGTTAGAATGAAATATACTTCGAAACTGTGGGGATAGCCGTGTCTGGGAAAGGCTACGCGGAACAGCTCCTTGGACGGCCCAGTTTTGCTGACTGCATTTAATCTGTGTCCGTTCCCTCGCAGGATTCCACCCCCGCCACCCCAAGTCTCGCACAGTCATCCAGAGCGGATGGTAATTCTCACCTGGTGTGGCCAAGAAAGGATGGCCATTGCATTTGACACGCAGAGATTATTATAAACAATCTGTAATGAAATAGAAACTTAACCTATGCATACGCTACCTACACTTTAGCAAGTCTTGAGGATTGGCTGGTAATATTTCAAAAAGAGGGAGAAACGATACATGTGTCTTTCCTGATTCAGTGACCATGTTCTCTGTTAGGGTGAAGCAGACGATCTCTTTAAGTGTTTTCCAGTCTCAGTTACTCCTGAAGGAGAAGCCAAAATACATACCAAGCAAATCAACGTCCCCTTCTCATGAGATATCTTCTCAAGGAAACTTGCTCAGTTTCAAACGAGGGGGGAAAAAAGGCAGGAAATTTGCTGCATGCTTCCACACTTGAAACGTCTTTATCAGAGTGCCATTAACCTGAGCAGCGGTTAACGGCTCACAGTTCCATCATTGGTAATTTGTGGCTTTCTGTGTACCTCCTGCCTCCTACCTAATCCGTCAAGAAAATATTCCTCCCCCTAAGACACACATCCTCTTGTTTATTTTTACCTCCCTCCTGCCTGTTGAGCTCCACACTACTCCTATTATGTGGCCCCAGCCAGACTCACAGAGAGTTCCCTGGGTGAGAAGCTTGTCAGCTTAAAGGGCATTTGAATAAATTGGGTGAAATACAGGCTGTCCTCCCCTTCACCCGAGGTGCACCTTCCCGTCTCCTGTCCCTGTCTCCAGAGTCTTCATGTGGACCGAGGCCATACCTCAGCCAAGAGCCGGGCAACAGTGAGCCTGAAGATGGCCAATGGCTTGGAAGGAAGCAGAGGAATTTACAAGTTCTCCCTTGCGAGAGACATTGAGAGCTTGAGTCACCACCTCCTGGTAGGAGTGATTAGCTCCAAAGCCCAAAGCACTCCCGAAGAGTAATTAAAACCATTTGGTCAAGTCTTCCTTAATGAGTCCTTCAGAAATGCAATATAGTGGGCAAGTGGGATAAAACCGTCCTGGCAATCTCAATAACACATTATACAAAAATCCAATGAGCACTTTTGTTCCAGGTATTATGATAAGCACTCTACATTTACTATCTCACTCATTTCTCACAACCGTCCTAAGAGGTAAACATAAACATCAGTTACTTCTTTATCCTGCAGATTGAGGAAATAGGAGTGTAAGAAAATCAAGAAACTCTCTCCACGTCCTACCCTGGTAAAGAACAAAGCC